AAAGGCTGTGAAACTCTTATCTCCAATAAGCCACTGAGAAAACTGGAAGTGGCGCTGTGGCTCAAGTGGTAGAGCGCTCGCCTTGAGCTGAAGAGCTGAGGGACAGTGCTCAGGCCCAGAGTTCAGGCCCCACGACCGGACCAAAAAAACAAACAAAAAAGAGTTTCACAGACTTTTCTTGCCCGGGCTGGCTTTGAACCACCATGATCCTCAGATCTCAGCCTCCTGTAGAGCTAGGATTACAGGTGCGACCAGTGCCCGGCCTCAAACATCATCTTCTGAGAGGGTTTTCTTGAATCTTCTCGGGCTGCTCTGTTTGGATGATCCTGGCCCCCTGTTCTGGCTCTTTACCCAGCTTCATTTTTCTTCAGAGCACTTATCAAGAATAAGATTCTAAAGCTCTTTACTGACATTCCTTCCTAGGAAGAATCTTCCTTGGGCTTGAACTCAGGGCCTGGGTGTTGTCCCTGAGCTTCCTTGCCCATGGCTGCTGCTCTACCACTTGAGCAACACCCTCACATCTAGCTTTGTGATAGTTAATTGGAGATAAGAGTCTCACAGACTTTCTTGCCCTGGTGTCTTTCTTTGAATGGCGATCCTTAGATCTCAGCCTCCGGAGTAGCTAGGATTAATTACTAGCATGAGCCTCCAGCACCGGGTAAAGACTGTGTGTTTTGGTCCCTATTGTGTATATTCCAATGCTGCTTGGGACATAGTAGGCATTTAAATAACTGCTAAATGAGTGAAAGAATGAACTAACTTCATGCCAACTACAGCCATGCTCACTATCTCATTTAAGCGTTACATGAATTCATGATATATATTCCTTCAAGAGGTTGTGCAACTTGCCAGCATCGTCTGCCTTGTAAGCACCTGCAGCTAGGAGCTGAGGTCTGGGCCTGGAACATGTCTCAGTCCTGCCACCCCTGGTCCCTGCTGTTCCCCAGACCCAGAAAACACAGACTTGCCAGCACAGAACATGTTGTCGGTGATGCGGATCCGGGTGGAGGCCTTGCACACTGGCCGCTCCACAATGGGCAAGTTTACCACCTGCAGGACACTGGGTTGCACCTCATTGACGCTGGTTGTCCAGGTCTCCCTCAGGTTGCCCCAGCCTGTTACCCGCCCTTTGTGTCCAGCCTGGAACAGCCTTTGAGGAAGGAAAAAGGGTCTAGTGAGAAACAATCCATCCAGGAGCTTCCTGGCCCTAACCATCATCTAAAACTCAGCCAGGTGCTGGTGGTTCACACCTGTAATCCTAGATACTCAAGAGGCTGAGATCTGAGGATCATGGTTTGAAACCAGACTAGGTAGGGAAGTCTGTGAGACTCCTATTTCCAAAAAATGTCAGAGGTGGATCTGTTGCTCAAGTGGTATCGTACTAGCCTGGAGGAAAAAAAAAAGTTCAGGGACAGCACCCAGGCCCTGAGTTCGAGCCTCAGAACCAGCACACACATACAAAAGAATCTGTGCTTATTACCTGACTTACATAACTGTAACCTCTCTATATCACTTTTATAATAACAATTTTTTTATTGTGAAAATACTGTACAGAGGGGTTACAATTACATGGGCAAGATAATGAATACATTTCTTATTAAGCATTGTAGCCTCCTCCTTTGTTTCCCCTTCTTATCCTTTCCATACTCTCAGTAACAATTATTTTTTAAATCTTAAAATCTAAAACTCCAGGGGCTGGAAAGGTGGCTCAGTGGTAGAGCGCTTGCCTTGCATGCATGAGGCTCTGGGTTTGATTCCTCAGCACCACATAAGCAAAAAGAAAAAAAGCCGGAAGTGGCGCTGTGGCTCAAGTGGTAGAGCGCTATCCTCGAGCTGAAGAGCTGAGGGACAGCGCCCAGGCCCAGAGTTCAGTCCCCACGACCGGACCCAAAAAATAAATAAATAAAATAAAATAATAAAAATAAACTCCAGGATGGGAAAGAACTTGTGCGTTCACTCCATGAAGGAACCTAGAAAGGAGAAAACCTTCTGAGCAGCCCGGAACAGCTCAGCCCCCACCTGGTCACTGTTTCTTTGTCCGGCAGGCACACAGGGTGAATGTGGTCAGTGAACGTGATGGGCTTCTTGAGCTTCAGCAGGGCAATGTCTCGGTCCAGGTTCTCCCTCCAGTTGTACCTGGGGTGGATGTGGATCTTCTCCAACATGGAGATCTTTTCTATGTTCCGCTCATACCTGTGGAGACCCCAGCAGAGAAACCAAGAGTCTACAATCCCTGCTGTGAGAGGCCCATGCTGTGAGGGGCAGTCAGTTCTCAAGGCGTGACGGTGGGTCACAGGAGGGCACAGGGCTGGCTTCTCCCTGGACAGCTCCTCCCATCCCATAGTGGCTTATTAGTCCTAATCCTCACAAGGTGCTGGCATCAGACCTGCCAGGCTGCCAGGGGTGGGCACAGGCTGGCTGCCCTGGCCAATCACTCTATATTTCCTTTTGTTGGCTATAGGGCTCAACCTGGATGTTGTTTCTGAACTCAAGTCTAGTGCTCTACCACTTCGAGCCACAGCACCACCTCTGATTTTCTGGTAGTTTATTGGAGATAGGAGTCTCATGGGCTTTCCTGCCTGGGCTGGCTTGGAACCGCCATCCTCAGATCTCAGCCTCCTGAGTGACTGGGATTAATGGTGTGAGCCACCGGCGCCCGGCACCACTCACTATTTTGAAGATTCCCACTCCAGCCCCATATCCCGATGGCTGGAGCAGAGCCGAGGACATGGCACGAGTTCACTCTCTGTCCCCAGTTCTAAGCCCCATCAGCACATGTCCTGGTGGGGACAGCTGGGGGTATACAGACACCCCACACGGCGCAGCTCCACCAGAGACCCTCCAGGGTGCACTCGGGCTAGGCCCATACCCACCGGCCACAGCTCCACACCTGGTACGGGAATGCTTGCCAATGCGCACCAGAACATCATTCTCGGTGAAGTTCTTGTCCCAGGGTGGGTACAGGAGGCAGTGGGCAGCTGTGAGGATCCAGCGGTCACTGATGAGGCTGGCCCCACACAGCAGCTCCTGGGGACTCTTTCGGAAAAGCATCACCTGCCTGGGAGAGGGGAGCAGGGTCACTGTGAGCTGGGGCACTGCCCCTCACCAGCCCTCCAAGCAGAAAGAAGTCCTGGGTTTGTAGCACAGCTGGGAAGATGAGGAGAGAGTAGGATGCTTAGCCAAAGCCAAGGAGGAGAGAGGTTCTAGCTGAGATACGCTGGGGTAGCCTGTAGCACAGGACACACCAGGGAGCGATGCCAATCTCAGCTTCTGAGCCGCCCACGATGCGCCCCTCGATGTAAGAATCCAGAAGCTCTGACTCCGTTTGGTCTTGCAGCGACTTCTTCTCAAACAGAGGCCGCAGGCCACAGTCTGCAGAGCGAGCCAGGCTATGAGGGGCCGATCCCCAGCCCCCAACCCCAGGCCCCTGCACCCAGCAGCAGCAGCGGCCTCACCTGCCTCTCCTGCTCCGAATGTGCTCTCATCAAAGAAGGTCTGGAATTCCTCCACCGTAGTGCGCCCTGAGATGGCCACGTCTCCATCCTCGCTGGCCTCCTCTTCCACTGCCTCCTCTGCAAGGGCCAGGACACTGGCTGAGCCTGAGCTAGGCTGGGCCATTCCTCACCCAGACCTTAGTTCTTCCAAATCTCCTGCCAGCCTTGGATGACACCTGGACCGGAGGTTAGCACATGCTCCTGGATCACTAGGTTACAACCTACCAGGGCCTTGATTTGTTTATCTGTAAAATGGGACTAGGACTGTCCCCTGCTGAGTTTCTCTGAGGCTGCATTGCAGTCACCCCAATTGCATATTCGGTAAGTTTGTGGGACAAGGGACAAGCATAACTGTTCTTGTCTTCCCCTCACCCCCAAACCTGTCCTCTTTTTCAGGTCCCCTGCCCGCCCGCTCACCACAGTAGTGGAGGTCACAGTACTCAAAGTCACCAGGCTGGTTTGCCACATAGCACCAGGCACCCTCCTGGTCTCCATCTGGGTTTCGGCAGAAGTTTTCCACCAGCTGCACCTCCGGTTTGAAGTCCTGGTCCTTGCTCAGGGCCTTGGCCTCTGTACTGGCCCAAGGCAGGCAGGGGGTCCCCAGCGCGGTCACTGCCAGCTGCCCCTGGTACTCCAGGCCACGTTCAGGGACACACTGTTCCAGTGCAGTGTCCGGAGTCACCTTGGAGCCTCCAGCCCGGGGAATCACCTTCGCAGTGACGTGTCCTTTCTGGCCTGGGGGAAGGAAGCAGAGGCTAGACTGGACAGAACCACACAGAACCATTTTAAGGCCTCTGTCTGCCTGACCTCAGGCTACAAACCTCTTTGAGCTTCAGTGTCTGCCTTTAAATAGGTTTGCTCTGTCTTGTAGGCTTGAGGTGATAAAAATATGCCACATAAATATGGAGCAATAATAAGCTAGAAATGGTGGTGATCAATAGCCCCCTGGAGTCGTTTCTGGTTTGTGTCCCGTTTGTTTGTGTGTGCTGGTACTAGGGCTTGAACTCAGGGCCTCACTCTGACTCTTAGCTTTTTCACTCCAGCCTGGTTTTGCTGGTTATTTGGAGATAAAGAATCTCTCAGATTTGTCTGCCCAAGCTAGCTTTGAACTGGGATCCTCAGACCTCAGCCTTCTGAGTAGCCAGGATTATAGGCATGAGCCAGTAGCACCTGACTTGGTTTGGTTTTTGAAGGAATCTATTTTAGTGGGGCTCAGGAAAGGCTAGGTGACTAAGGCCTATTCAGTAAGTCTTTGTGGACACATCAGGTTCATCATGCCTGTGATATATTTGTCATCAGTGTGTGTAGAGGGGACTGGCATCTAAAAAGTAGCTATTTTTGTTACAGTAAGTGGCAATTTATTAACTTTAAAAACCAATTTCAGAATGGAGCAATGGGTCCAAAAGGGTTACAGAGAGAATAAAGACTAGAACCTGTGTTTCATGGGTTAAATAATGGAGATGGATTCTTTACCCCTGCCCAGATCCACATGCTTTCCACATGTGATTTTTACAGGTAGGGAGTATTTCACATCTTGACTTTGGCTTTGATCATGTGACTTGCTCCAGCCAATGGAGTATAAATAAATAAGCAGGACTGACAGTCATGGTGTTTCTGCTCCATGCTTTGGGTATCTGCTGTCACCATGGGAAAGGCTTGCTTATGGATTTGTATTCTTCCAGCCTCTGCCCAGTGTGAGTGTTAAGTGGAGCAGATCTGGGCCCACAGCAGCCAAGCTCTGCTTGACCTGTTACCCAAAGCCAAACCACCCAGTGCAGCCCAACCAGTATTCGCTGACCCTACAGACACAGAGATGAGCATGGCTGAGAGTAGCCAAGAGGAGACATAAGAGATTATTGGTGCATCCCTGACATGTTGTAGAGATGTAAGACGTTAGCTTATTGGTTGTCTCCCTGACCTGTTGCCTGCCTACTCTGTTTTACAATGTTGCTATTGGCTCTAGTTGAGTAAGACACTGGAAAGAACAACTGATGCATGTGGAGCTGGAGCTGTATGAGGCTTTGCTCTGTGTGCTCAGAAAAGGACATGTGGACTGAAGTGGTCAAGGAGGGCTTCCAGGAGGAGAGGACCTGGACTGGACAGAATGTGGGTCTGGAATGAGGCACAGTTGGAAGCACAAGGAAGTCAATATTAGGAAGGAAAGGAGGAGCTCCAGGCAGCAGGCCCAGTGAGCTCTGAAGGCAGCAATGATCTTGATGCTCAGCCCAGGTTGCCAGACCCCACCATGGCCCCTGGGCCTTGGCCACAGACCACCTCGTCCCCCCAGCTCACCACAGACGGGGATGCTGCATTCCTCCCTGCGCACAGTGGGGTCTGTGGTGTAGCACCAGGGACCCGTGGTGCTGCCATCTGGGTTACGGCAGAAATTCTCCTGCAGCTCAGCCCCAGGGTGGGTGGTGGAGTTGATGCTGGAAAAGGAGATTGCTCAGCCAAAGCCTGGGTTTCCAGGCGGTCCTTGCCCCCATCAGCCCATTGCTGAGCAGGCCTGCCCACCACTCACTCAGGCTTGTGTGGGTAGCGACTATTCCAGAGTTGGCACTCGATGCCCGACCGAGTGACATTCACAGTCCCTCGATAGTTCATTCCCAGATCCTTGGCACAGTGACCTGCACAGATAGAGCCTAGGTCAGCATTAATTCCTCAGGATTTGTCCCCGTGACTTCAGCAAAACTCACTCCACCATCTCTAACCTGCATGTGTTCTACTCCTCCTTGGCACCCAGTGGCAGTGACCAGATACTCAGAGTGCCCACCGCATACAAGTGCAATGACAGGTGCCGTGCCAGGTGCTGAGGACACAGCCCTGAGTCACAGTCAAGCGAGGTGCCTGTCCTGGAGCAGTTCCTATTCAGGGATTCCTCCTGGCTGTTAACCCAGCCCTGGTCTTTCTGTGTTTGCTCCTAAAGCCCCAGGGCCTTTGCAAATGCTGTGTGCTCTGCTTGGAATGCTCTTAGATCTGTTCTTTGTGGTCTCCCACAAGGCCAGGTAAACGCTACTTCTGGGAAGGCTTCTCTGATTCTGCTATTTCCTTCTCTTGTAGGTTCTTGGCACCTGAAAACTTTCCTAGTAATCACTTTAGTGTTTTCTATTTTTCTTTCCTTGAGACGGTAAATTCCTTGAAAGTGAAAACTATTCAACACTGTTAAAAAACATTCCCAGCACTTGCCAGACAGGGTGGAGCAATCCCATCACTCAGGGGACTGAGGCCAGAGACTCTTGAACTTGGGGCCAGCCTGGGGCTACATAGTTAGACACTATCTCAAAAATAAATAAGTAAATATTGTAAACTAATTTTGTTGTTGTTCATGGGGCTTGAACTCTGGGCCTGGGCGCTGTTCCTCAGCTCTTCAGCTCAAGGCTAGCGCTCTACCACTTGAGCTCAGTACCACTTCCAGTTTTCTGGTGTTTATAGGAAATAAGAGTTTCACTGACTTCCCTGCCTGGGCTGGCTTTGAACCACGATCCTTAGATCTCAGCCTCCTGAGTAGCTAGGATTACAGGCGTGAGCCACCGGCGCCAGGCCAAAATTAATAATTTTTTAATAAAGAAATTAAACTGGGGCTGGGAAGGTGGCTCAGTGGTAGAGCACTTGCCTTGCATGCCAGAGGCCCTGGGTTTGATTCCTCAGCATCACATAAGCAAAAAGAAAAAAGCCGGAAGTGGCGCTTTGGCTCAAGTGGTAGAGCGTTAGCCTTGAGCTGAAGAGCTGAGGGACAGCGCCCAGGCCCAGAGTTCAGGCCCCACGACCGGACCAAAAAAAAAAAGAAAGAAATTAAACTGTGGTCAATGACTACCCAATGCCTGAAGTGCACAAAGCCTGTTGCTGACTAAAGATAGATTCAGAATGCTGTGGAGGACAGAGCAGCTCCCTGAAGGCTCAGGTTCAAGGTGGCACTTGAACTAGTTCTGGAAGGACAGTGTCAGTGGTAACTGCTCCAGGGAGGACCATGCTAGCAATAAGCCAGGAAGTAGAAACATCTGACCATGTGTGTAGATCAGCCCACTGTCAGAGTGTGTGTTATGAGTTTGAGTTTGGTACAACAGGAGATCTAGAAAGAGAAGCTAAGGATGGATCTGAAAGTTTTGCCAGCTAAGAAATCTGTCTTAGTCTGTGGGTGATGAGGAGCCATTGAAAGTTTGGTTGAAGGAACATGCCATGCTCATAGCTCTGATTAGATAGAGATATGGAGAATGAGGCCTTAAACATGAATTCCTTATCCATTCATTCCTTTGTTCCTCCAACAAACTACTAGACCAGAGTCACATGGAAAGTCACATCTTCACTCCAGGGACAGAAAGGCAATGTCAGGGGCTAGAGATGGCCAGCAGGGCCACCATTCCTAGTCCACCCCCTTCTCTTCTCTGGACTTTCCCCACATCCTGTCACCTCTCACCTTCCATACATTCCGTGAAAATTCTTCGAGTTTTCCTCACTGAATCACAAGCTGGAAAAGACCAGAAACACTTTTAGGATTGGTGTAGGGATAGGATGGGCAGAGTAAAATGAGATGACAGGAACAGAGAGATAGACTTTGGATCGATGGGAAGGAGGGAAGGAGAAATAAGAAAGAGAGGGAGGACGAAAGGAGAAGGGGAGGAGGAAAGGAAGGAGGAGAGGAGGGAGGAAAGGAAGGAGGAGAGGAGGGAGGAGAGGAAGGAGGGAGGAGAGAACAGGAAGCCAGGCAGATTGTGTACCAGTGGGAGAGAATATTCTCTAGGCCTCCCTTCCTGGGGTAAACCTTGCCTGGTACTCACCTGTGTACTTGGCCCAAAAGATATCCTGAAAAACAAGGTCTGGGCATGAGACTGAAGCATACACCCTCCCCTACCCCATTCACACATGCAAGGGCTTTGGAGAGGCGTATGCCCAGCCTCTTGCATTTTGCACAAGAAGAAGATGAATAAGGACAGCACAGGACTAAACAGGGCTCTCCCAGCTATAGGGTAGACTGGAGAAGAGAAAGCATTGGGGCTGCAGGGAGCCCAGGGACACTGCGGTCTTGAGCCCGAGGCTTCTGGCCTCACCTCCCCATACACCCCACCTCCTAATCATGGCATGGAAGGGATGAAAAGGCTCTTTCTGAGGCAGGCGCTGGTGGCTCACTCCTGTAATCTTAGCTACCCAGGAGGCTGAGATCTGAGAATCGTGATTTAAAGCCAGCCTGGGCAGGAAAGGCTGTGAAACTCTTATCTCCAATAAGCCACTGAGAAAACTGGAAGTGGCGCTGTGGCTCAAGTGGTAGAGCACTCGCCTTGAGCTGAAGAGATGAGGGACAGCACCAGGCCCAGAGTTCAAGCCCCATGACCAGGACAAAAAAAAGGGGGGGGGCTTTTTCTAAGGCCAGGTATCCCAGAGAGTCCCACTGTGGCTTGATGCTAAAGGCTGCAGTCTCCTGATTGCATGAGCCTCCCCAGGTGCTGAAGTCATGACACCTTCCAGGCACTGGGAGCCCCGAGAGAGGCTGGGGTGCCCAGTGAAATGGAGCTCGGGCCTGAAGTCATCACCACAGCAAGTAGCTGAGATGCTGCTTCTCGCCTCCCCAGTGGGCCTCCTGCCCTGGGCCCCTCAGGGGCCACCATCCCCCGGCAGGCAGGTGGCTCACTGTGGCACTGGTGGACTCCAGCGCCTCAAAGGCCTCTTCGTAGCTGCACTGCTCCTCCACGCACTCCCGCTCCAGGTTGCCCTTGCGCATCTCCTCCAGGAAGCCGGTGTTGGCTCTGCGGACCCGCTGGAGCAACGCTAGTGCTTGCTGAGGGGCCAGGAACACTGTGGTAGGAGGGGCAAGGGACTGTCACTCCAGCGATCTGGGTGACATTGGCCATCCTGGGCCGGGAAGCAAGCCTGGCCTGGCCCTCGTGGCTTCTACGAGATGATGTCTGGGACGAGGAAGTACCCAGAAAGCAGCTAAACATAGATCACTTGCTCCCTCTTTGTCATTGGTTGCCCCTGCCCACTCAGCAGACTGAAAGAAGCAGCCACCTTCCTCACAGCCCTGAGCACCTGACTCCTTCCTGAAGCTGGACTCTGGCCTGAGGCCTACCTAGGGGCCAGCCTGGTTACCCCCAGCCCATGGGCCTAGCCTGCAGCCCTCCATTCCTGCCTCCACTTCCAAGCAATCTCTTACCATGCTGGCTGTGTGCAAGGGTAAACAGGGCAGCCAGGGCCAGGTAGCCAGGTAGCCGCAGGCCTCCGACGTGCGCCATAACGTGGTCGGCTCCTGCGATCTGAGGGACTGTCCTGATCCCTCTGAGTTAATGATGAACCAGCATGAAGAAATCGGCGGCAAGGGAGAGGTCAGCGGGTCAGGGCCGTGGGGACAAGGGGATAGATCGTCTCCTGGCCCACCCCCCGCCATCCAGGAAGACAGACTTACCTGCCTGGACCAGGAATGGATGGTTTCTGGTGGGTGGGGCAGGCCCAGAGAACAAGCCATCACCTACCCCTTATTCCCGGATGCCTATGTGAACATGGGCTACCATAGCCACACACCCTTCCCTTCTCCTGGCTCCTTCTAATCTCAGACCATCAAAGGATTGTCTATGGGCCTGTTTTCTTATCTGTACAGTGGGAATAATACTTGGCCATGACATTACAGAAGCCCAGAAATATAGCATTTAATAATTAGTAGATTTACCAGGCACTGGTGGCTCAAGCTTGAAATCCTAGCTCCTTAGGAGGCTGAGATCTGAGGATTGAGGTTCAAAGTCAATCCAGGTAGAAAAGGCATGGACTCTTATCTTCAATTAACCAGCAAAAAGCCAAAAGTGGAGATGTGGCTCAAAGTGGTAGAGTGCCAGACTTGAGCAAAAAAGCTTTTGGAGGGGCTGGGAAGATGGCTCAGTGGTAGAGCGCTTGCCTTGCATGCTCAAGGCCCTGGGTTCGATTCCTCAGCACCACATAAGCAAAAAGAAAAAAGTGGCGCTGTGGCTCAAGTGGTAGAGCGCTAGCCTTGAGCTGAAGAGCTGAGGGACAGTGCCCAGGCCCAGAGTTCAGGCCCTACGACTGGACCCAAAAAAAAAAAAAAAGCTTTTGGACAACACCCAGGCCCAGAAATCAAGCCCCAGTACTGACACCAAAAAAAAAAAGTAAATCTATGTATTATAGTTACCATAATTACAACATAGTTATTGCAATTATTGTAATCACAATGAACAGATATGAGGAACAGACAGAAGTGTGGCCAGATGCATGGTTTCACCTCATCCTGTGATTCTGAGGGGTGGGTGGGGGATAAGAATTAGCCTCAAAGTGGCCCAAACTCTCAGCCTCTGGGGGCAGGTCCTCTTTCTCGTCCTTCCTGACCAAGGTGCTGTGGAGGTATGTTTGTATGTGGTAGCCGTTTGGGAGGGAGAGCTAAGGCTTTTCTTGGACCTTCTGTTGATCATCTCCCATTCCCTGTACCAGAACAAGGGCCAGTCTACTTCTCTAGGTCTCCCTGGTACAACTGCTTCTCACCCACGTGTCTGCCCTGGGATAGCCGAGGGACACTTCTGGTCCAACAGAGCTGTGGAGCCCAGCCTACTCCTGTCCCTCCCCTATTTCCTGTTTGCAAGGTAAATATTAGACGTGGGTCTAAGTAGGACAGAGGGACAAAGAGCAGGAACACAGGAAAGCACAGGTTCGTGCTTTGTCTTGCCCATCCTCAGACCTAGGCGGTCTGGGGTCATGTGTAGTCTGGGAACAGAGATAGGATTGTCAGCAAACTGGGGACCAGGGCGCACACAAATCAGCTTCATTTTACACACACACATACACACATTGGAAATTTCAATAAATATTGAGATTTAAACTTACAGTAATCTTCACTAGTCGTAGTAAGGTAGGTAGCTGACGTGTGTGTGTGTGTGAGCAGAGCTATGGAATCGGCTCTGTTGCATCCACTCTCAGCTCCTATGGGTACTCCCAATACCGTCAGGCAGCACTCCACTTTGCCTGGTTTTGTTTTTCGCCTTGTCTTGTTTTGCCAGTACCAAGGCATGAACAAGAGGCCTTGTGCTCTCACCTGTCTTTTTTCCTCATGTCTGGCTCTCTACCCACTTGAGCCACATATTCTGGCTTTTTGCTCGTTCATTAAAGGTAAGAATCTCACAGTGCCAGAGTGGTGCTGTGGCTTAAGTAGTAGAACACTAGCCTCGAGCACAACAGCTGAAGGACAGCACCCAGGCACTGAGTTCAAGCACCAGGACTGGCACAAAACAAAAAGAAGAAGAAAGAGGAGGAGGAAGAGGAAAGTGGAAGAGGAGGAGGAGAAGAAGTAAGAGAAGGAGGAGGAGGAAGAGAAGAAGGAGGGGGGGAGAGGAGGAGGAGAAGAGAAGGAAGAGGAAGCAGCAGCAGCAGCAGCTACTGCTCACACATTTGTATACCTGAGCTGGCTTTGGATCTCAGTCCTCAGATCTCAACCTCTAGAGTAGCTAGGATAACAGGTATTTGCTTGCTTTTGAGTGTCATGGAAATGGAAGCTTACAGCACAGATTGGTTTGTGTAGCCAAGCATGTCTCAGACAGACAGGTGCATGCCCAGCTCTTTTCTCTTTTTGTCAGTCTTGGGGCCTGAACTCTGGGCCTGGGCACTGTCCCTCAGCTTTTCAGCTCAAGGCTAGCGCTCTACCATTTGAGCCACAGTGCCACTTCCAGCTTCTTTTTTTGGTGCTTAATTGGAGATGAGTCCACTTGGGCTGGCTTCAAACTGTGAACCTCAGATCCCAGCCTCTTAAGTAGCTAGGATTACAGGCCTGAGCCAGTGATGCTTGGCTTCTTTTTTATTCTTTGCATATGAAAATCTTGACAATGAAAAAAGTAAACTTCTTCCCTTCATAAATGAAAGCTAGGTTGAGGAGGTTTCTATTGGACAGCCTCCATGTTTTCTTGGGTGAGCTAAGAAGATATGGTCCATCTTTCAGAAAGGATGGAGAATGTTACTTCTGCGAAGGTGGCTCTGGAAGGATCTAAGAGTTCTGTGGGACACCTCTATGGGTGCAAGGCCCTGAAGGCCCTGGTATATTCCTCCTTTGCTTCTAGGAATTGTGCTCCTTGAAACATTTCCAGGTCTGGCTGGTACCATGCAACCAAATACATCATTTAAGTCTCTTGTCACAAATGAACACTGCATGCTTAACAGCGAGTCCCATTTCCAGCTGAGAACAGCTCATGATGAGGGTTGTCTTTGTCCTTAACAAGCTAGCATCAGAAAAAAACAAAGAATGAGTAGGGCTAAGGCTATGCCGTAAAACTGTCTAATCACTGAAAGTAGTACAATTATGTTCCAAGATGTAGAACTCAAGAATGCTAGAAGATCAGATACGATTACATTGAACCAGTTCCAAGCCTAGTGCTCTACACGTTTTACAAAGTGGTTTTGTCTTTTTATATTTTTTTTAAAAAAGCTTACATCTTCAAAATTGAAGATACATCTTTACTTTTCTTTGAGCTGAAATTATGTCTCTTTAGGTGGCTAATTACCTTTTGCTTTTGCTTTCTTTTTTTTCAAGTTGATCAGCAGTTTTCTGTTTTGGTTTAAAAGATACAAGATAGCAGCTTGTGTCCTAGATGGTGCTTTCAGGGAGAACATGGACTCCTTTCTGCTTGGCCCTCATCCAACTTAAAAGTTTTCTTCCATTAAATCAGATAACATCACTCCAGCTTGTATTCTTGTCCAGGAGGCCACAAAACAAGGAACGAAAATTGTTCTCTAATGGCTCCATTCCTGAACAAGATTCTGGGAAATTGTATAACACCTGTGCTGTGTTTGAGCCTCATCATACTTGGCTTGAAAAGCACAGGAAGACCCATCTGTTTGACATTGAATCTGGAAGAATTATATTTCAAGAATCTACAACAGAGCTGAGCACCTGTGGCTCATACATGTAATTCTACCCACTCAAGAAGCTGAGATTGAAGATCGTGGTTTGAAGCTAGCCTGGGCAGGAAAGTACTTAAGACTCTTATTTCCAATTGACCAGTAAAAAGCTGAAAGTGGAGATGTGGCTCAAGTGGTAGAGTGCAAGCCTGTTGAGTGAAAAAACTGAAGAACAGTGCCTAGGCTCTGAGTCCAAGCCCCAAAACTGGTACAGAAGAAAAAGAAAATGATACCTGAGTGCATTCTATTAGTTAATGAGTGGTCATCATATGACATTGAATCTCTGGAAAGTAGCAATATACACAAAACATGAACAAAAAGAAAAATACAAATGACTTGTGTGTAACAAATGCCAGTACTGGGGCTTGAACTCAGGGCCTCGAACTCTTGGTTGGCACTCTACTACTTAAGCCATATCTTCAGTTCAGGTTTTTTTTTTTTGCTGGTTAACTGAAGATAACTCTCAAGTATTCCATCTGCCTGGGCTGGCTTTGAACTTGGTTCTCAGATGATCACAGTCTCCCGAGCGGCATGAGCCACAGGTATATAAGTATATAATTTGGTGAAATTTGACATTCATATACACAACTATGTTCCCAGACACCATTCTGGTTTTAGTTGTGTATTTTGGCACACTTCCAAATGACGTTTGCTCTAACCCCAGTATCACTGGCAGTATCAAGAGAGGAAAAAGTTCTCTGTGTGGGGAGCAGGGGAAGAAGGTGAGCATCTGGGATGGCTGTGGGTATAGATGCCCCTGCCCCCATGCAGCCCACTTGCTGCATGCAGTTCACCATCCAACAACGAGAACCCCTCCCCCCCAAGATGCCTAACCGCTGGGCAGATACTACTAAGCAGTTCCCCAAGCTGAAATGCCAAGTGGGCAGAGATCATGGGTAGGCTCTAAGAAACAGAGTGGGCTGAGCTTGACAGCAGTTTGTCTTTGGATAGTGTAGCTTTTCTCTCCATAGACCAATACTGCCTCAGTGCTTTCTCCCCTGGGGTGAGCTCACCCAGGCTCTGCAGACAAGCTACTCAGATTAGGTGGGCAGCTGGGTTAATGAAGGTGATGTCACAGGCAAGCACTGGGAACCCACAACACTGACTCATATTTGAATAATGGTGCCTTTTATTATTCTGTGGTCTTGGCTGGTTACTGGTTCTGTTTGAACCTGTTTTCTCACCTGTGAGTCAAGGATCACAATATGTTTTGCAGATTTGTACAAGGATGAAATGAGAACACATGCGCTTCCAGTCTTGCTTCTTACTCAAAGCAATCCTGTGTATGTGGCTTCACCTGTGCTCTCAGCTTTCTGGACTCCAAGTTTCAGCCCTGTCAATGGCAGCTGCCTGGCTGACTTTCCCTGTTCACATGCTTCTCCCCTAGTGCCAGGGATACACATTAGCTTTTCTTTTTAGTTGGAGGTAGATATCCAAATAAGCCCTCTTTCTCTTCTCCCTGACCTGCCTTGGCTTCCTTCTCTCTGGATCCTTTTCACTCCCAACTCTTTTGGGGGTCACTGCTGAGGTTTGATCTCAAGGCAGATGCTCTATCACTTGAGTTACGCCACCAGCCTCAGGTTTTCCTATCTTTGTGCAGGGATGACGAAAGTGTGCCACCCACTGGGATTGAGATGAGGGTCTTGCCCTTGGCCTAGGCTGTCTGGAATAATAATCTTGAATCTCCACCTCAAGTTTCTGAGATAACAGGCATATGCCACTGCATTGGCTTCCATAGCTTTTTGTTGTTGTTGGTTGTGGGGATTGAATTCTGGGCCTGGATGCTGTCCCTGAGCTCTTCAGTTCAAGGCAAGCACTCTACCACTTGAGTCACAGTGCCATTTCCAGTTTTCTGGTGGTTAATTGGAGGTAAGAGTCTCATGGACTTTCCTGCCCCAGGCTAGCTTTGAACTGGGATCCTCAGAACTCAGCCTCCTGAGTAGCCAGGATTACAGATGTGAGCTACTGGTGCCCAGCTCCCCCCACCCCCCACGCGTCTTTTATGGGTCTTGAACTTAGGACCTGGGCACTGTTCTTGCTCAAGGCTAGTATTCTACCACTGTGAGCCACAGCTTCACTTCCAGTTTTCTGGTCTTTAATTGGAGATAAGAGTCTCAGGCACTTTCCTCCCCAGGCTGACTTCAAACCACGATCCTCAGATCTCAGCCTTCTGAATAGCTAGGATTACAGGCATGAGTCACCAGCACCCAGTTATCCCACAGATTTGATGAGCATCTATTTGCTGGTGGCTGTCCCTCTCCTTTTGACCTAGTCTTTTCTCTAACTGCTTATTTATGAGATTTCTCACAGGCACTTCAAACTCAGAACCCATCCATTATCCAAATAAATGCCCCCATATCACCTGGAGACCTGACTCAGTCAAGTAAGCAGGGGTCAAAGCTTTTCCTTAGCCACTCAGTTGTAGGCAGCAGAGAAAATACCCATCCAAAGCCTGATCGCAGCCTGTGAGGCCTCCCTGTCCCTCTGTTCCTTGTCCGTATCTGGTCACTGCTTGTCCTTCCACTACCTGGAACCAGCTTCCCCCCCAAGATGAGACTCTGCTCACTCTCCTCCATGGTTCAGTCCCTGCTGTCACTTTACTAGAGGCCTTCCCTCCCCGTCCGCATGCCCAGCTGCATTCACAGTGCCCACACCCCACCTTTCGAAACACCACTCACTCACCAGGTCATGGGTGAACCCAGGGGCTGAGAAACAGAGGTTAGAAGCTTACCTCCAGCCCTAGCTAGACTTTCAGCCCACACACTAGTGAGGCTGTGACCTCTGTGACAACACACTGTTCCTGTTTGCTGATCTGTGAAATAAGGATAACAGAAGCAGGTCCTCACAGGGACTGGCCACCTACAGCCCTCCTCCACGGCACCCCCACCCCGGGGGAAGTCCTTCCTAAGACTCCCAGACCAAGTGAAACCGCACAGTGCCCAGTCCAGCAGACACAAAGCACACATGAATGCCTTACCCCGTCCCTCTGCTGTGCGGCCCGTAGGGCAGATACACAGAAGGGCACAGCAGATCTTGCCCTTGCCACTCCCAGGTTCCGTATCCTGATTGCTGACTGGCTTCACAGCCCATCTGGTGGCATGAGAAACTGCCAAAATCATCAGAAGCCTGAACCACAGACATGTGACATGTGGGCTAAGCTGTATTTCAACCCACAGGAGCCATTCAGTTTCATTCCAAATATAAGGGCTCAGGGGCCTAGCCTGGTACTGAGCACCCAGGTAAAGAGGTAGAGCAGCCTACCCCTCCCACAGCAGGGCTGCATCAGGTGTACTGTGCCAAGGGGAGGTAGGACAAAGACCTCTACTAGGAGGCTACTAAATGCCCTGGGCCTGACAATGGTGCATAAGCAGGGAGGGGCTGTCCTTGTCTGCTTCCAGGACTCTGCTGTACCTGCCAGGAGACCCAAAGAGAAAGAGACATGTAGAGCTAGAACAGTTTTTATGGGTCAGGTACCTGCCTCCCCCCTCCACGTCTTCAGCCCAGCCACCAAAGGCTGCCCACATCCTTATGGACCAGCACCATGCTGGGGACCGGGCTTGGCTCCTCCGGCACCACGATGCACTTCTCCTGGCTCTGTGCAATGGTCACCTCGACCATATCCTTGCCTGGGGGCACTTCCTGTTGGCTGCCCGTGTCCAGCAGCACTGGCTCAGTCTGCAGGACCACCACAGTGGGTTCAGAGGCAGCAGGAGGAGCAGAGGGGACAGCGGGAGGGCCCCGGGGCTGGTGGCTAAGCTGGTGCCGCTTGAGGCCTTGGGGGAGGGCATAGCCCATGCCACAGGTGGGGCAGCGGTAGGGTTTGTCGGCTAAGTGGCATTTCAGGTGACGCCGCAGTTTGGTGGCCAGTGTGTATGCCCGGCCACACTGGGGGCACGGGAAGGGCCTCTCCCCAGAGTGTAGGCGCTCATGAGCACGGAGGGTATGCGGGTCTCGGAGGGCCTTCCCACACACAGGGCACAAGTGGGCCTCCCCCGTGTGGGAGATGAGATGGCGCCGCAACTCGGGCAGCTGGGGGAAGGCGTCAGCACAGTGCGGGCAGCGGTAAGGGCGCTCTCCAGTGTGGAGCCGCAAGTGCCCGCGCAGGTTGCCCCGCTGGCGGAAGGCCCGGCCACAGTGTGGGCACAGGAAGGGCTTCTCTCCTGTGTGGAGACGCATATGGTTCTGCAGGGAGCCTTGGTTGGCCAGGGAGCGCCCGCACACCGGGCACACGCACAGGGCAGGGGCAGTGGGCGCCTGGTGACTTTTGCGATGGAGCCGCAGGGAGGGCCGGCGGGCAAAGGCCTTGCCACACTGTTCGCACGCAAAGGGCCGGGCACCTGAATGGACCACCTGATGCTCTCTGAGGTCTCGCCTGGTGCCATAGGCCTTGTCACACTGAGGGCAGGGGAAGGGTCGCACCCCTTGGTGGCCCAGCATGTGGGCTTTGAAGCTCTCCTCGGAGCTGTAGCTCCTGCCGCATTCTGTGCACAGAAAGGGCTTATGGCCCGTGTGTGTGAACGCGTGCTTCTTAAGGTGACACAGCTGCAGGAATGCCTTGCCACATACCCCACACGGGTACCGGCGCCCTTGCTTGGGGGAGCTTCTTGCTGGACCAGGAAGGCTTCGTAAGTGTACAGGAAGGCCATCAAGCTGGGCCCCAGGCTCTGAGGTCTTTGCTCCAGGTAGGCACTGGTCCTGGGGAACATGTAACTTTTTGGTTGAGAAGGCATGTCGCTGGGTGTCCCATGTCTCTGCTGGGAGGGGGTCCTCCTCATCCACACAGCCACCCTGAAGCAATGGGCCAAGAGGTTGGCTCTTTTGGGTAAGTTGGTCCTGGGATGGAGACACAGGTCCAGGACTTGCCATGTTCTCTGCCTGGATACTGTGAGGTGACTGGTAACCCAAGTCTGTAAGGAAAGAAGTGAGGTGCCGCTATTAGCCAAAGCTTGATTGGCTGGTGGTATCACTAGGGAATTGCACGTAGCACATGTTTTCTCCTGCCTAGCCTTGAACCTCGAGTGGGGGAGCAATGGCACCAACCTCTTCCCCAGAGCACATCTGGAAGATGGTCCCATCCACCTGGCCCACCCCTAGTTCTCCTCTGGAGATACGCACGGTCAAGACCCCTACTTCTCACCTGAGCTCACCTGTAAAATGAAGAACCCCCTGCCTGGTTCAAGAGAGAAGTGTGTCAGAAACTGGAAGAGAGAAAAGTAGAAGACAAGCCTGGTGCAGGTAGCTCATGCCTGTAATATTAGATGGAGGTTCAAAACTAGCCCAGGTAGAGAAGTTCTGTGACACTATCTCTAAAATAGCAAAAAGTTGGGCTGGAGACATGGATCAAGTAGAAGAACACTAGCAGAGCAAGAAAGCTAAACAAGTACAAGATCCTAAATTCAAACCATTACCAGAAAAGAAAAGGACTAGTTTTTCTATTAGCATCAATAGTTATTCAAAGGAGGATTTCATTGTAACATTTCCAGGCATGTATATGATGGATTTTTATCAATCTCTCCTCCCTATCTGTTCTTCTCCCTTCCTTCCTTCCCCCTTCCTAAAACAATTTCAATAGGTTTCATTTCATTTTCATATATCATATTATCCTCTTTAACACCCTATTGATCAACAGCCAGCTTTGGTTTTGTTTTGTTTTTTCAGTCTGGTCGTGGGGCCTGAACTCTGGGCCTGGGCACTGTCCCTCAGCTCTTCAGCTCACTTCCGGCTTTTTTTTTCTGCTTATGTGGTGCTGAGGAATCGAACCCAGGGCTTCAAGCATGCAAGGCAAGCTCTCTACCACTGAGCCACCTTCCCAGCCCCTCAACAGCCAGCTTTCACTGAGGTTTTTTTTGTTTTGTCTTTCAGTCATGGGGCTTGAACTCAGTCTGGGCACTGTCCCTGAATACTTTTGCTTAAGGCTAGCATTCTACCATTGTAAGCCACAGCACTACTTCCAGTTTTCTGGTGGTTTATTCAAGATAAGAGTCTCATGGACTTTCCTGCCCACCTGGCTTTGAACTGAGATCCTCAGATTTCAGCCTCTTGAGTAGCTAGGATTAAAGGTATGAGCCATCAGTGCCCAGCTTCACTTAGTTTTTTTTTATGCTATCTTCATATAGAGTTAAAGTGTATCTCAAAATAATTTATACTCTGTCTTTCCTTAAAAGGAGGAGAGGTAAGAATGTGTGTGTACTTGGAAGATAAGGTAATAGAAGGGAAGGTGAATATAATCCAAGTATATTATGCACATCATACACATTATGAAACTATCATACTGAGGAAGTGGTGCTGTGGCTCAAGTGGTAGAGCGCTCGCCTTGAGCTGAAGAGTTGAGGGACAGTGCCCAGGCCCAGAGTTCAAGCCCTATGACTGACAAAAAAAAAAAAGAAACTATCATACTGAAAGCCATTAGTTTGGACAATAAGCACATACTAATAATAAAACTCACCATAAATAAATAATTGTTCCAGTACATTAAGATAAAGAAAGAAAAAGAAATTAATAAATAGGAAACATTGTATGTAGTTTGCTTCTACATCAATATGACCTTATTCTTTTAGGAAACACTTAGAATATACAAGTTACAAATAATCTTTGTTGTTCATTCCAAGGAAAAAACTCATTACCCTCCAACAGAAAGTATCAAATGACAGCTTGCCTCCAGGACTCTGTATTGCTTGCCTAAAAATTCCAACCTTACTGTGTCTACCAATCATATACCATGGTCCTCACTCAATTCTTCTCATCTTCCAATTCCACACTGCAAGTCCACTGTAATCCCTTTCCCCACATTCTCCCCTTTCTCTTTTTATCTGGTGCTGGGGATGGAATGCAGAACTCTTGCACAAGTACTCTATCATTGACCCACACCCAGCCCAAATCAGATTCTGAAAGGCTAAGATTCCACCGTTCCCTCTTACCAGGCTGAGCCACAAACGTTTTTTTTTGCCATATCACAGGTGTTTTGGTGATACGGGGGGTGGGGAGGCAGTAATATCTTGGGCACATACCTGTGCAAGGCTCTGCTGTATCCCCTCTGGGGGAGGACACTTCTTTTTGTATAGCAGATTCTTCTTCCACCACCACTGCCCCATCCTCTGGTGTTGGCTGTGCTGGGCTCGGGCCCTCTGACAGATTCTGGGGCCAGAGCAGCAGCTCAAAGCCTGGCAGCACGACCTGGTACACCTGCAGGTGGAGCCTCTCATTGATCCGAACCAGGGCCACATTTCCCTCACTCTCCAGTCTGGCCTGCTGCACCAAACTGCAAAGCAGAGCAAGAGTGAGTTCAGCCTCTTAAGGCCTAGCTCCAAGGAAGTGAGGCCCAAGGGCTGGCATGCCTTTGTAACTCTCACTTGAAAAGACCTCTGACAGAGGAATGACAAGTTCTACCTAGGCCTCAAGAGAAAGCCTCAAAGAAGTATATTCAGTATGCATGCTCCTCTAACTTACCCGGTCCAGCCTGAACTCTGTTCCCAGGTGCACACAGCTCCCCACGGGCCCCGTGATATGTCCTGAAATAAAACATAAAAGAGAATTGAAGGAACCAGGCAGGAAAACCATGAACTAGATGAAACTTCTTCTGGGACAAATCTAAGATGAAGCTGCTGACTTTTCAGTCAGTGAAATCCAAAGAATTGTCCACTCACCTCCCTCCCAATGTTGTGAGAAATTGCTAAATTCAACACAATACCATCTTCTAGTCAGTACCAAACAGAAAAAGTAGTAAGAACAACTTTTTTTTCTTTAGGTGGTAATGGGGTTTGTACTCAAATGTTTCATGTTTGCTAGAAAGGTGCCTCACTACTTGAGCCACATTCCCTGTCCCTTTCTGCTTTATTTATTTTTGTTGGTAGTAGGGCTTGAACTTTGGGCTTGAGTGCTGTCCCTGCACTCTTCAGCTCAAGGGTAGCGCTCTACAACTTGAGCTACAACACTACTTCCAGTTTTCTGGTGATTTATTGGAGATAAGAGTTTCACGGACATTCCTGCTCGGGCTGGCTTTGAACCGTGATTCTCAGATCTCAACCTCCTGAATAGCTAGGATTACAGGCATGAGCCACCGGCACCCGGCTTCTGCTTTATTTTTTTAGATAGGATCTTATATTTTTGCTCAGGGCCAGCCTCAAATGAAAATCCTCCTCTGGTGTAGCTGAGACTACAGACCTGAGCCTCCATGCCATTTAATTGTTGAGATAAAGCCTGGGCTAACTTTCTGCCTGAAATGGTTTTGAACCTCAATCTTTTGACTCTGTTTCTCATAGCTGGGATTACAGAATCTCACCATTGTGCCTAGCCTGAGGAACATTAGTTTTATAACAGCACTTACTATGCAATTGAACGTTTTATTTGCATCATTCCATCTAGTCCTTCAAATTATCCTGGGTCAGCCAGGTAATTTGGCTGGGATTTGATCCTTTATCTTCTGAATTCGACTAGTTTTAGCTCTTGACCTTTGCCACTACCAACACTGTAGGAATCCAGCTTTTAACCACTTTTAACTCCTGGATCCCTCTACTACTGCAGCTCAAGGGCAGACAGTCCTGCAGAAATGAGACAAAACCGAGTCCTAACGCTTGAAATGCTCTGCTTCTAACCAACAGCAGAGTAGTCCAGAAATATCTAAATCTCCCCCAAGTTTTCGATCACAAAGACTTCCTGGTCCCTCAATACCTCCTCCTGCGATGGCTTCGCTGCTTGGTCTTTCTCAGACACTGACTCCTCTTCCAGCGGCCCCGAGTGCAGCCCGGGCTGCAGGGGCTCCCCAACACACCAGACACCCAAGAGCTGTTCCCTGGCACGTGAGGGGCCGACGGCCAAGCCCCAGGGGAGGCTCTTCAGAGCAAGGACGGCTGGGCTCGGTCCAGGCGGGAATTGTTTGGGGTCCCGCGCACAACCTTCTCTGGAAGTACTCCATTTTGAGTCCGGGTCCAAACGCGGTTCGGGGGCTGCAGGAAGACGGGCGGGAAGGGAGGCGAGGGTGGGGGAAGGTGCGGAGGGAAATCAAAGGTTTAACTGGTCCTCGGGGATCTGAGATACTCAAGGGCGCTAAGGGGTTCCGGAACGCTTTGAGGGGAGCCCAGATCTCGTTAAGAAGCCTCAGAGACTCGGAGGACAATGAAGACTCCAGAGGAAACGGGGCTGGGGGAGAAAGTGGACGGGACAATGCTGAGGGCAGCAGCCAGAGCAAATCACTCACGGAGCGACCCGGTCCCCAAGAGCATCTGCTCCGCCTCCTCCATCCCGGGTTGGAAAGCCTCCCTTCTCCGGAAGTGAGCGTCCTCTTCTCAGCTCCTCCCGGAAACAGCTTTTGACTTCCAAATTTCCTCTCAGGAACGACTCCGAAAAGTCACCTCTCCTAGCTGAACCAGACCTAGAGTACGACAGTACTCGTAGGGCGAAACTCGGTCCGAAAATAATACGCAACTACGATTCCGGAAGCCCTCCAGGAACTCTGTGTCCGGGAAAGCGGAACTAAGAAGTACAACTCACCTTCAGGGAGCGACGAGTCGGACAGTTATGCGGTCTCTCCTCTGGGCGGACACTTGGGTGGGCACTAGCCGGAAATGGGCAGGGCTCTCTGGAAAGGCCGTGTTTGGACCTGGCAGAGATCCGGAAGTAGGTTGGAGGTGTGGCGGAAGTGGTTGGGGAGTGAAGGGACCCCCCGAGGGGGCGGTTCCCGTTCCTGCGCGGAGCCGGATGTTTGCCGATCTTTGACAGGCGTGGCCGAGGGAGCGGTGCCCGGGCGCGGTGAGCTTCGGGGCGCGGGGGGTCTTCTCGCGCGGCGTGGCGGGGGGAGGAAAGGAGCGGGTGCAAGATGGAAGGATTTGAGCTCAGAGGTGATATTGGCCCCAAGTCGGGGGTCCCCTGGTCTTTCCGCTGGGGAGATTCCTCGGCTGCTTTTGCTGACTTCTTCCTGCGGGAACCAGGGAAGAGGCCACACCAGACGTCTAGTCAGGAACTGGCCCCTGGGGAGGGAGCAGGCTTCTTGATGCCATCGGGCCATGCACCAAGACTAGGAAATCTGGGGGAAGTGTGCTAACCTTATTACTCAACAGGCCAGGCTTTCATCTCACTTTCTTAGCTTGTGAAATGATACAATTACCTTAGTTTTGTTGTTGCTTTAAATCTGTGCAAACGCGATTGTAGTGCAAAGTTATTGTAATGTGGTGGAATTTGCGTGGTTTTTTTTAAAAAATTAATTCTGGAGTCATTATTAGGAATTGTGATTGCAGAGATTTCAAGTTGCTTATCGCTGTTCTGTGCAAAGGGAACAGTAGAGGAGTGTCTTTGATTGACTCTGTTGGCCACCTCTTTGAACCCTATGATTCATAAGAGTGAAAGTCACTTAGGAAATTATTTAAGGAATGACTTTCACCAAGAGACCTCCTCAAACAAGTAGATCTGGATTGGATTAAAATCCTATCTCTGTGAGTTGTATGACCTTCATCAATTGCTTATTTTTTTCTGCTCCTCGCTTTCCTCAAACTAGAATGGATTTAGAAGTATATGTGAGACAAATGCTGCTGTGAAGTTAATAGTTTTGTGTCCATTTCAAATTGCTCTAGAGGCCCTGGACAAATATTAGTTCCCTTTTACATTTAGGAAAACAATTCGTTCAGCCATTCAACAAATAACTGAGTATCTATAGTTTGAATAGTTTTTTTAAAATGATTTTATTTATGTATATATATTTATTTATTTCTGTGCTAGGACTTTGTGCATGACAAGCAGAGTGCTCTACAACTGGTTTATATCCTTAGCCCTTGGATAGGCTCTTAAGCAAGTTTTCAGAGAGTTTCCAAACCCTCAAAATCGCATGCAAGATTTCATGAGGTGTTACTTAAAAAATTACCTTTAAGGAGCTGGGTATGTGGCTTAGTGGTAGAGTGCTTGCCTAGCATGCATGAAGCCCTGGGTTTGATTGCTTAGTACCACATAAATGGAAAAAGCTGGAAGTGACACTGTGGCTCAAATGGTAGAGCACTTGCCTTGAGCACAGAGAGGCTCAAGGGCATCGCCCAGGCCCTGAGTTCAAGCTCCAGGACCAGCAAAAAAAAAAAAAAAATTAGATAGTTGTACAAAGGAGTTGTCACTTAACAAAGCAATTTATTTATTTATTTTTGTTTTACTTTTTTATTGTGAAAATACTGTACAGAGGGGTTTCAATTACATGGGCAAGATAATGAGTACATTTCTTATCAAGCATTGTAGCCTCCTCCTTTGTTTCCTCTTCCCATCCAACAAAGTAATTTATGAATACAAAATATCTCCATTTATGTCACCCATTTCAACATTCTCACCAAATCCCTTCCCTACCCAGCAGTGTCAGTTTTTCTTAAGAAAGAAAATCCACAGTATTGTAATTTCAGAGAGGTCCACCATTTCCTAAAAGTTAAAACAACAACAATAACAACAACAAACCTTTGCCCAGAGTGATTTTCAAAGGTTTGTGTGTGTGTGTGTGTGTGTGTGTGTGTGTGTGTATTTGCTGAGATGGAAATAATAGCCCCAGAGCAGGAAGTATTGTGCAGTGTGTAGCAGGGCTTGCTGTTAGTTGGTGTATCTTAGACAGTCAGGATGCTTCATCTCTATTTTGTTAGAATTTTCCCATTGGATCCCCTCACCTTCCCACTGAATGGGATAAACTTTCTATCCCAGAGAAAGCAACAGTTGTGGGTTGGAGGGGTATGAGAGAGGTCAGTAAGGCAGGGAGGGCAACATTGTAATTACTCTGGAAAAGGAGGTTCCCTGGGAGTTTAAGGAGGTCAGGTTTGGAAGAACTGTGGGAATAGAGGAGTCAGCTGGAAAAGTGGTGGGGTTCAAGCTCAATTCCCATTTATTTAGTCAGTCCTGGGTCTTGAACTGAGGGCGAGGATGCCCTTTGCTCAAGAGTAGCCAAGACTAGCACTCTACTCCTTTGATCCACACCTCCACTCCCCCCCCCCTCCTCCATGTTCTGCTGTTCTGGTGGTTAATGGTAGATAAGCGGCTCATGGTCTTTCATGCCAGGGCTGGCTTTGAAATGTGATCCTCAGATTTCAGCGTCCTGAGTAGCTAGAATTACAGGTTACCATTGCCAAGCTCAACTCTCTTTTAGATTTGTGTTTTCCATTCTTCATATACAGCTCACACATAACTCAGCTCCTACATGCTATTTCTAATTCTGCTCACCAAATACTGGAGAAATATATTTCTGGAAGGAACCTTTGCTTCTACAGATGAGGAAATTTAGGTGCAGATAGGAAAACAGCTTGCTCAGGAACTTTGTACCTCAATGACAGTCAAGATTGTAATTTACTTCTCCATATACCAAACTCCATGCCTTTTCTAGCTTGTCAAGTGCCTACTTAATGCAGGAATATATCTTTGGATAATTTGTGAATAGGGTTAAAGGAGCTCCTGGTACCTGAGCAGTGATAGAACACAAGGCTGGAGGGAAGGATCACGGGTGGAAGAGATAATTTTGAGGTGGATTCTGTTCCTTACTAGGCTGGGGGCCCCTGTTGGGAAATGGCCCAACAGTCTCCTCCTGATTGGACGGAGGAGAAGCATATAGATGGGAGGAGGAAAGTGGGAAGAGGTGATGGGCCTTAGGGAAGTTGATTCCTTAAGACTGAAGGTTGTGTTGGAGAGCTCCGCCATCGAGGGGAGTGAGGAGCTGGGTTTCAGGTGAGTGCTTGAGTGCTCATAGAGAAGAATGCATTCCCACATGTGACAGGTTAGCTTTTGTGTTTAGGGACAGTGACCTATATTTTGGTGGCAAGAAAGCTGACAGAATAGAGTAGTGAAGGCCAGAAAAGAGGGAGAGAGAAAATGGCTTTGGGCTGTTTGGCTGCTAGCTTTGGCTGAGGAGCTTGCAACAGCTTTTCTTATTGACTCAGTATGGTTGCCCTAGTAACAAGGAGGTTGTTGCTAGGCCCTCGGAGCCAGTTCACCATCGAGAGCCCTGGGCTGTGATGTGTGTGGGAGATTGTCAAGTCATCTTAGAGCTCAGAGTCTATAGATCTCAAATGGCAGCTTTTCTTTTCTTCTTCTTACCCACCCTCGGGTCCTGTCAGTTCTTATCTGCCTTGCTGTTTCTGTGACCATATATGTCACATTTTGGGCTCCAAGAATGCAGCAGGCCTTGGAACAACCTCTTCTTTGGGGCTGGCCAAATAGATTGAATTGAACCTCCTCCCTCACCCATCTGGTGAGCTTGTGGTAGGAAAGGGAGGTACTTCGCATAGGGCTGAGGGGAGAAGGTGCCACCACCTCTGGCTGAATCCCAGACCTACAGAAATCTGGTTGTAGCACTGGATATTTTCCTGCCATGCCTGATTGTTCTGTACTTTGTCTCGTCTTCTCAGCAGTCTGGATGTCATGAGCAGCCTCCTTTCTCATATGTGCTTTCCAGTTCTTAGGGCAACATGTTGGCTTTCCTACCTTGAAACTGGCATCCAGAGCTCCCACAGGTTAAGAGGCCAGCAGGGAGCACTAGGATTCATACAGACTGTGTGCTGGCAGGCGGATTCCACCCCTTGTCACTGGTTCTTGTCCTGAGGCAAAGCCAACTGGGCCCCTCAGCCATGATCTTTTCTGTGGATGCTCTTGGTGGCTGCGTCCTCTTCCTGTGGGGAGGAGTGGAATAGTCAGGATCACAGCTGATCTTTTCCAGGCATGGTGTTTAGAGACTCAAATTAGAGATTCCTTAGTTCTTGTCACACCAACCCCTGTAACTAGTGGGGCTGTGAGGCTACTGTGCTTCAGGAGCCCAAGGAAAGAGACATGAGCTTTTCTACCCATTGTAGAGTGCATCTGACGAGGCCAGATGGGTGGCAGGCAGTGTAGGACCTGGCACAGTCCTCCCTGCCCAGCTGGTGACCTGAAGGGAGGTTCCGAGCTGTGCCATCTCCTACCCCAGCTGCCTTTCTGGCAACATGCTTCTCAGAGCTCTTGGCAGAAAGAGAAGCATTGAGGAACCAGGAACTAGAGAGCCAAGAGAGGGAAGAGTAGGGGCAGGAGGCTAGCTGTAAAAATTACAGAAGGTAAAAAAGAAAGGGATTGCTGACTATAGACCTCCCTCCTCTCCCAGGTTTCCCTTCAGTTTCTGCTGCGAGGGACAGACTTGGCCATGGACCCACTCTCAGAACTTCAGGATGATCTGACTCTCGATGACGCCAACCAGGCTCTGAACCAGCTGAAGCTGGCCTCCATTGATGAAAAGAACTGGCCCTCAGATGACATGCCGGACTTTCCCAAGTCAGGTGGGCATGGCCACTCTGGGCAGCTGCAGGCACCTTAGACAGAGATTCCTCTTCCCTGCTGATCGGGCCCTCGGGCACAGAATGGGGATGTAGACAGCTCCAGGGTGGGGCAGGGAACACAAGCCTCACTGAGAGGGTCATAGAAGGTGAATCTCAGAAGAGCACCATGTAAGCCCCAAATGGTTCAC